ACCGAAAAAATAAAATACAAAAAAATAATTATTAATTTTTTTAAATAAGAAATAAAATTTATAATCAATAAATAAATTTTGAACTGACAATAATAAATAAATAAATAATTGTTTGAACTGAACCGTGACCATCCGTACATATAAACAATAATTTGTTGGAGAAGAAAAAATAAATGAAATATTTAGTTTTAATGGTAAAAATGTCTATCAAACATAAAAGGAAGAAAACATGCCACTTTTAATATAACTAGGAGGCAAATGTGGATACATGAATAACTAAGAGGGAAAAAGTGTTAAAAGCATATACCTAAGGGGAAAAAGTGTCATTTATAATAAATATTTGTTAAAAAAATAATGTTTGACTAAAATTAATGAAGGTGGTGCAAATAACAATTTTTCATTTATACCACCTAAAAGTTATCACACCTATTAAATAGGTGGTGCAAATAGAAATTAGGGTGGTGCAAATAGAATTCCCCATATATATATATATATATATATATATATATATATATATATATATATATATATATATTCATGCAACTATTTCCAGGGAAGACGTTGCTAAGTATCGCACTTTATTCATTGAGGGAAAAGTCTACTCCATCAAGAACTTTTTAGTACGTAGTGACCAACTACTACACATACAAAACATCCAACCACAAATACCTTATAAAGTTGAATTACTCTACCACAGTTAAAGAAAGTAAAAGTAACAAGTTCCCTTATTTCATGTTTTGATTAAAGTCTTTTGAGTCATTGATGGATGCAACAGATCTAAATGACAAAGGAATTATTTGGTATATACCTTTGCTGTGTTATAAGTTGTTTTTGTTAATTTTAAAATTTTTATTCAATGTTTGGTTACATACTTTAATTCAATGTTTTCTATCTTAAACTAGACATAATAGGCCGTTTTTAGAGATTCATTCACCGGTGGAGAAGCTAATTGTCGAAAAACAGTCCCGTATTATGAGTTTTTTTAATAGAGGACACAGAGTATGTTCTAACCTTAAACTATACCGCTGCTATTAACTAATAGCAATTCGTAATTTAATTATAATTATATATTAACTAATAGCAATTCGTAATTCAATTATAATTATATTTATTTAAGTATTATTCTGTAATTAATGTTCAATCTTGGCCTATTAGGGACAGACAAATGAAGTACAAAATATTGGACGATCATGTGGAAGGAAGCAATGATCCCATATTTTAATTCAACCCAAGAATAGCCCCTAATTGCCTTGATACAACTGTGTAGATCTAAAATTGTCAATGGTAAGTTTGGTCACATAAACTGTTGTTATTTAGTTTAAATTACATTCTAATACAAATCTATGTTCATTTAAGGTGAGGTGAGAATTATCAGCTCCTACAATGCAACCAAATTGTGGTTTAATCACAGTTACTCATAAATTACAGAATTTAATGCCAGGTATAAAAAACATGTATTATTAATGTACAAAATAATATTATAAGTTATGTCCATATCTTTTATAAAAAAAAAAAAAAAAAAAAAGAGCAACTATTCATTTTTAAAAGTCGTCATTTGCATAGTTCTTGATCTGCACCTAGTGATGAGCAGTATGCAACAACAATATTCTCATCACTTATAATATTATTTTGTACATAGTTTTATACATGTCATAGGGGCTCTTTTTGGGTTGATCATCCCATATTGTGCACTTCATTTGTCTGTCCCTAATAGGTCAAGATTGAACATTAATTACAGAATAATACTTAAATAAATATAATTATAATTGAATTACGAGTTGCTATTAATTAATATATAATTATAATTGAATTACGAATTTGTATTAGTAAATAGCAGCGGTATGGTTTAAGGTTAGAATTTACTTTGTGTCCTCTATTAAAAAATTCATAATACGGGACTGTTTTTGGGCAATTAGCTTCTCCACCAGTAAATGGATCTCAACAACACGACCCCATATGTCTAGATTAAGATAGAAAACATTGAATTAAAGTATGTAACCAAAAATTGAATAAAAAAATTAACAAAAACAACTGATAACACCAAATAATTCCTTGCCATTTAGATCTGTTGCATCCATTAATGACTCAAAAGACTTTAATTGAAACATGAAATAAGGAAACATGTTGCTTTTACTTTCTTTAACTGTGGTAGAGTAATTGAACTTTATAAGGTATTTGTGGTTTGATGTTTTGTATGTGTAGTAGTTGGTCACTACGTACTAAAAAGTTCTTGATGGAGTAGACTTTTCTCTCAATGAACACAGTGTGATACTTAGCAGCGTTTTTCCTAGAAATAGTTGCATCGATATAGGTACCCTATATAACGCTAAAAAAAGGCAAAAATTTAATTATTAAATTATTAAAAACGAAAAAATCATATCAGATTGAATATATTAATATAAATCAGTGTATTAAACTTACCTCTTGTCATGGAAGAGACATTCTTTGCTCTTGCTGGCCGCTGCTCCTCCACGTAATTCCTGAGATGCAAGAATGTATTGGGAAGGCATCTTCGTAGAGTTTGTTTTCGCAGGAAGTTTCGTTGATGAAGAACACTTCCGGATGACTAACAAAATTTGAAGCTTTTACTTTCAAATAAGCTTTTGTATGTGCAGCAGTGTATGAATTTTGCACTATTTATTGACCTTTTTTGGTTCTGCATGTAAATACATGCACAAATATTTATTTGTTATTAATATGTATTTGATATTGAACAGGTTATTAGTAATTTAATGCATACTTGACTATGGGTATTCTGTAGTGATTGTTAATAAGGGTGTTTTGATTTGAATTCTGATGTATAAGATTATGTACAGACACGACATTGATGATTTAATTTTGAAATGAATAGACACGGCATTCAAGATTCTCTCATCAATAATCATCACTGATGTAACATTTTTCAACGAAAATATCAACATCAACAGTTATGCTAAGAGCATTCACACTTGTGCATATTATGGGGAGATTTCAGTATTAATTCTTCTCAATGGGAATAATAACAAATGTGGGGTGGGGATAATTGTGGAGATATTCATTTGCAAATGAAGGGAGAATGGCAGAAAAAGAAGAAAGAGAACGAAAAGAAAAAAGGGGCTGCTGTGCACGTTTCGCGCACAGCAGCCCGCCCACGCGGGCGCGTCAGGCGCGCCTGACAGGTTTTTTTTTTTTTTTTTTTTTTTTTTTTTCGTTTGTTTTTTAATTTTGGTTTTTTAATTTTTTTTTCTCCCTTCCCCACATTCTCTCTCCTAATCACTCTTACATTATCCTCATATTCTTCCCAACTAGTGTGGATGCTCTAAATACATGCATTTGTTAATATACTAAATAATACATATGAAAGGTCGCCACCTGCAACAAACGTTGTACACATTATTCTAGATGCTGCTAAACGACACCGAATTTGTTGTGCGGGAAAATAAAAATGCAAAAACATTTTGCTATTATATAGAGTAAGATAATATAAGATAAGATATAGAGTAAGATAAGATAAGATTATAAGGTTGTTGTTGAATTTGTGGATAACAATTATGGGGTGTTTGGTTGGTTGTAATTGAAACTCTTTTTTAATATTATTCAACATGCAAGAAAACTATATACATTGTTTGGTTGGAGGTTCAATGAATTCGAATTCACAACACCCCCCCCCCCCCCCCGAATTAGAATTTAGCAGCTATAAGGGAAAGGAAAAAAGAAAAAAAGACACATTTGCCCTTTATTATTATTATTATTATTATTATTATTATTATTATTATTATTATACAATGACATTTTTGTTTTTATATCACTTATTCAGTTGTCATTTTTAATAATTTTATTACTCCCTACCAAATAATATAATTTAAATTCTTACTTTATTCCACTTTATTCTTTTTCTACATAATTATAATTTCTTTTCTTCTTAATTCTCTCATTCCAACCAAAAGTCATGTTAAGTATTTTCAAACTTTAGATACTTTCGGAGATAAGATGTCATTTCTTAATTTGTTGGAGATAGGGGTAGGCATTTCAGGATACGGTTCGATTTTTTTTTTTTTTTTTTTTTTTTTTCCGGTTTTGATTTCGGTTTTGGTATTTTTAAAATGATACCATTCAGTTTAATATTATAATTCGGTTCAATTTTGGTTCAGAATTGGTTCGCTTCGATTTAAGAACCTCAAATTTTAATATTTTCTAATTTTACAAACACACTACCAAACAATACATATTCACATACTCCAGATCCAAAGTCCAAATATTATATAATAAAATAGCAATCCAAAATTTAAACACACTACTAAGTACTAATACCAAACATCAGTTGGCTTTTCTGCACAACCGACTATTCAGTTGGCTCACTTGGAATGTTTTATTGACAAGATGAAGAATCATCTATCTGTATAGTTAATATTTGAAAAACAAGTGTCAATTACTATATAGTTAATTTTTGGACACAATCCGTCATTGCTAGTGCACTGGAAATATATTCCAATACTAGAAAATAATTCCAGTGCAATGGAGATCAAAATTAAAATAATGTTAAAGCACATTAATTTCATAGAAACATGAAACTAGGGAAAATACTGAATATTGTAAGAATAACTCAAGTCAGATGTAATTGTGAGGTAAGAACAATTGCGGCAAACAACAAAAGTGCAAAGTAGAGAACAAACCATAGAAAAATCAAATAAAAAATTTAAGAAAAATAACAATGAGAATAGAAACTGAACGGCAAAACAAGCATCGAGAGACTTGGATTTAGTTCTTCATTATTATTATTATTATTAAACAAAACAAACGACATTTGGTTCGTTTCGATTCGATTATTTACAGATTTTTTACAAAATCGTTTGATTTTGTTCGATGTTCGTTTTACTGGAATCTATTACCGTTTTTTTTCTCCGTATATTATTAGTTCGGTTCAATAAGAATTGGTAGTTGGTACGGTTTAATTTGGAAAAATCAAACTGAATTGTACACCCCTAATTGGAGACATGTCCTGAGTTCCACCGTTATTCGACGTGGCCACGAGCGCGGCCGATTGCCCGATTATGTCTCTAAATTCGACAACCATGCTTCAGCAATCAGCACACTCCACTTGAGTGGGAGAAGCAATCTTGCAGTCTAGTGAGAGGCACACAAGCTCCAGAAATAGAGCGAAAATGAGGAGGAGATTCGGCGGCTATGCTGCTTCAATTCTTCTTCTACTTCTTGCGGTTTTAACATTATTAGGTAATCAAATTCTATAATTTTCCTTTTTCGTTTCTATGAAATTGTTGCTATTTGGTTTTGTGAGCGAGCTCGATCGATCAGTCCTGCTTTCTCTGTTTGATAGGCACGGCGGCAGCGGCAAGTGAATTTTCGCCGGCGGCGGCGGCGGAAATCATATCGAGATTCCAGCAATACCTCCGAATCGACACCGCCCAACCCAACCCAAGGTACGGAGAAGCGGCGGATTTCATAATCTCTCAGGCGAAATCCCTATCCCTGGAAACTCAGGTTGTAGAATTCGTGAAGGGGAAGCCTCTCGTTATCCTCAAGTGGGCCGGCAAGGACTCCACCCTCCCCACTATCCTCCTCAATTCCCACACCGACGTCGTCCCTTCCGAGCCTCACAAGTGGTCGCACCCGCCTTTTGACGCCCAAATCGATCCCGCCACCGGTAACATCTATGCCAGGGGCTCCCAGGACATGAAATGCGTCGGCCTCCAGTACTTGGAAGCGATTCGCAGCCTCAAGGCTTCTGGATTCCAGCCTATCCGCACCGTCTACCTCTCCTTCGTCCCCGATGAGGAAATCGGTGGCCACGCCGGCGCTGAGAGCTTTGCAAATTCTGATATCTTTTCGAAGATGAACGTCGGGATTGTGCTCGACGAGGGGCTGGCTTCCCCCACGGATAACTATCGCGCCTTCTACGGTGAGAGGTCCCCTTGGTGGTTGGTTATCAAGGCAGTTGGGGCCCCTGGACACGGTGCCAAGCTCTATGATAATACTGCCATGGAGAATCTTTTTAAGAGTATTGAAAGTATAAGGAGGTTCAGGGCTGCTCAGTTCGACTTAGTCAAGGCTGGCCTCAAGGCTGAAGGAGAAGTCATTTCTGTTAATATGGTGTCTTTGAAAGCTGGCACCCCTTCCCCCACGGTATTTGCTTAACCCCCAATTCAACAACCTCAGATTTCGAGCTCTATTTATATATTATTATATTCCTAGCTAGGCACTGCAATAGGAAATTAAGGCATACTTTTTCTTGTATCTGTTTATCTACTACTACTGAATGGCGGTTGGTGTCTGGTTGTTGTACATTTGCAATGCATATTAAGCGTGTGTTTGGTTCATGGGGTTAGACACTAGGAATGAGAATGAACACATTGTTTGGTTGACAACCTTTTAAAACACAGGTGTGTTTGGTTCATGGGGTTAGACACTGAGAATGAAAGTCATACACATTGTTTGGTTTACAACTTTTTTAATACAAAGGTATATGATTTAATTACCCTTATAATTACAAAATCTATTACCGAATTTAAATCAGGTATCATTCCATTAATTCAACCTTATCCCTCCTCATTTCATCGCCTCTTCACTCATCTCTCCTCACTTCATTGACTTCCTCACTGCATTGCCTACTCACTTCATTGCCACTCTTAAGATCAATATTGGTAATCATTCCAATTCCATCCTACTACCAACCAAGTATTTGATTTCCATTCCCTTTCCAATTCCCATGTTTGAACCAAACACACCCTAAAATTTGTATGGAAGACGACCACATCGATCCTCTTCCTTCATCTGCTGATTTCGTGATTCAAACTAATCCTGTTTCAGTTTTATGTGTTTCTTTTTAATTTTATTGGATGGTCTCATCTACCTGGAAGTGGATTCACCAATTGACCTGATTTGTATCTGCAATGCTGAAACTCATCTTTAGTTCCTTTTTTTTTTTTTTTTTTTTTGAGGAAATCTTTAGTTCATTGGTTCATACTTTAATTGTTGTAGCTTAAATGATGATTAAGATATAAGGAGTAGTGGTTACCATAGATTTGATTAGCCATATATTTGATATCATCATATTTGTTACTGATTTTGTGGATTCTTTTCATCTTCTCAGGGCTTTGTCATGAACTTGCAGCCGTCTGAAGCAGAAGCAGGCTTTGATATTCGAGTTCCACCAATTGCTGATCAAACCTCATTGGAGAGACGAATTGTCGAGGAATGGGCACCTGCTTCACGCAACATGACCTTTGAGGTAAGAAGGAAATTTGTGACATTATACATCAATGGTGCAGTTCACAAGGGTGTGTCTTGGTAATGCTTGAAGTTGTTGTGGTTCCTCTTTGCTCATATCAATGTGTAGAAAGAATATGAATTGAAGTAATCAAAATTGAGCTGTTTTTTGTTTGTTTGTTTCCTGTGCTTTTATTGATGAGGGTGGAAATATACTACTTCCAGAGAAAGCATATATTGCGTCTTGTTGAATATGGGAAAGCAACGCTAGGTTTTTAATATTGGGCTTAGCCTGAGTTGTATCTTGTCTTGTATATATACATAATATAGCATTTTCTCTACATATTTTCATTAACTAAATTCAGTTCCTTTGATCCCTTTATGTTCCAATGTCTGCTTTTGCATCCCAGTGTACGCAAATGGAGCCTTGGTTTTTTCAAATGGCTGCGAGGACCCAATTTTTCAGTGTTTTGGAACTTGCTTTGTCCATCTGCTTAACTGAAATTTCCTGCATCATTGTCACATATATGTAGAAACATGTTGCTTCCGAAAATTGCAATTGTTCTGATCATTGTTGTAGCTTGGACAGTTCAAGGTTAAGGCATCCATATATGATAAGTTTGGAAGACCAGCACTTACGTCTCCTGATAGTTCTAATATTTGGTGGGCCTTATTAGAGAAAGCTGTCAAGGATGCAAATGGGAAACTAGGAAAGCCAGAAATATTTCCTGCCTCAACAGATGCACGCTACTTTAGAGAGAATGGTTTGCCAGCTATTGGCTTTTCTCCAATGGCAAACACTCCCATTCTCCTTCATGACCACAATGAGGTTAGCACTTTAGTTTCTATATACAATAGTCTCTCTGTCTCAGAAGATCTATTCTGATGCACATTCTTATTGTTTTCACAAGTATAAATTTTTTCTTACCTTTTATGATATACTGCCATCTTATTTTAGAATTTATAGCTTATTTTAAGCTACCATGTTTGGTAAAACATGAGGACCTTAAAATAATAGCTTATTTTAAACGCAAGTAGCGTTTCAAAATAAGCTACTAGCTTTTTAACTTTTTTTTTTCTTCCCTTTTTTATCTTATTAATTTACAAAAATGACACATTGACACCATAATTCATTAATCAAAATTTTAATATCTTAGAATATCCTTTTATGTCTTTTTATACTTATCAACTAATTCAACAATTAATTTTACCAAATACTTTAATTTCAATTAGTTAGCTTATTAGTTACTAGCTTTTCAGCTTTCAGCTTTCAGCTAGGCGTGCCAAACATAGCCAAAGTACTTTGAGATGAAAAGTTCTCTCTCTCTGCACTTGTCTTCTCTTTAACTGTAATGTGTTACACAAGATACAATGGCCTAATAGGATAGAAGTATGACACCTAAGAGAGAAGAAGTGCAAAGATTTGGGTGAGAACAGGTTGCAGTCAACCACTGAAATGTATATATATATGTATCCGTTCTGGTTTCTTTTTGAATGTATAACCAATTCTAATTAGTAGTGTATTTTGAAATTCTTCAGTTTTTGAACAAGGATGAATATTTGAAGGGAATTCGTGTTTACGAGTCAATAATCAAGGCATATGCATCTTTTGTTGAGCACACTCGAGATGATGAGTCCAAAGCAGAATTATGAGAATAGGATGCACTGATACAGCAGTCGTTCCTATCACACGATGCAATAGAAGGCCTCCCTTGTGAAACTCTGGCATTTATGTCATGTTCAATTTACAAGAAATGTCTCTTCCTGGCGGATTTGTCTGTTTTAAAATGAGGCTAAATAACTACGGACATGATACAAATGTCAATCGTGGCTGTGATATTTCTTATTGTTTTATGCACTGTGTATGAAAGCGATAGCTTCAGAACTGAGAATCAGGTAGATACAGGCTGGGATGGATAAATTTGATGATGTTTCTTGCTCCTATCCAGATTCAACACCCTTTATCATCAGAAAAGATGTATGTTACTTTGTCTAACATAAAAAGCTAGAGTTATTTATGAAAAGATGTACGCTGCTTTGATGAGGAAAATGACTAGTCATCAATTTTTCTTTACTGGTTTTTTGTGATGTCCTGATTTTAATTTCTCAGTTGGCTAGTTAATGTTGAAAGACCCTCTGATGAGCTCAACTTCACGGTCAGAGATTACTGGGATGATGTCTCAGGTTGGAGGTTCCAGAAGCTAAGCAACTTGTTTCCCCCTGACATTATCAACAAGTTGAAAGGCTACTTCTTATCCAGTGAACCCAATCAGAGGGACACCATCTCATGGAACCAACTTGTTTCCCCCTGACTTTCCTCATTGGAACATGGCCTTCAGTGTTATTGGCACATATGGAAGTGGAGAAATGCTTTGATTTTCAAGAATGAGACCATTCATGTGCACCAGAAAGCCTCTTGGATCAGGAAGTATTGTAAGGACACCCAGTTTGCCTTTGCCAAAGACCAGCTCCAAAGAAACCCATCTACTGTCCAGGCGAGACTCAGCTGCTGGAACAAACCGGAAAATGGATGGGTCGCGATGAACGTTGACGGCAGCAGTAAGCTCACAAGTAAAGATGCTGGTTGTGGAGGAGTTCTGCGTGACTACCAAGGGAATTGGATCGTGGGCTTCCAGAAGAATCTTGGAGAATGTAACGCTGTGGAAGCCGAGGCCTGGGCAATCCTTCTTGGTCTCAAAGTTGCTTGGCAATTCGGTCACTCTAAAACTATGTCGTTTCGTAACTTTCAGAAGTGGCGCCTTTTTTCATCCAATCATAAATGACGACTTTGGTAATGCAAGTTCAAAAACCAAATACTACAAGGTAGGTCCATATATACTAAAAACTTCCCAATTTCAACCAAATATCTATTAAAATTATACTATAATCATAATTACATGTCAAACAGAACTACATTTAAATGCAAATTAAACAGAATACAACCACATAATTGTAGCTTTAATTTCCAAGAAACTCTAATTAAAGCTGTTAGTTGTTGTCAATCTAGCTTAGCTTAATGAAAGAAATTAAAGATAGATCCTAGGAAGTTCTGATCCCCACTTTTTCAAGAACATATATATAAAGTCAGAAGATGGAATATCCATAGGGAAGGTCAATTAAGAACGTCCACCGTAACCACATTTGAATCTATCATATCGAATCAAGATTTGTTGCCAGTATGTACAGTGGTTGATCTCGATCAATTCGAGCAGCTTTTATTACATACCAACATACATGTTATTCTCGAATTGAAAGACCAGGCCGGAGCCATCTTCAATATGTGCTTCTTTCAAGTTAAAGATGGAAAATTGGAAAAGATTTTCACGTACCTCAGCGATTCCAACTCCATATATGCCATCCCAGCCGCCATAACATTATTGTGTACTCACTTCCACTGCTAGAAGAAGTGATCGAACCCAGCCTGATCCGATGACAGGAAAATTAAATTAAGGAGCCTTTTTTTTTTTTTTTGAAAGGAGCCGTCATGGCATTTATTCAAAATACTGCGAAATAGTGTGAGGCGGGACAGAGTCCCAATACATAATAGCAGGCTGACTAGAAAAAGACAAAGCTAAAGTATGAGCTAAATAATTCTCTGATCTAGGAATGTAAACAACTGAACAATAATTAAAAGTAGTGATACGTGCCCTGCAGGCATCTATGGCATAGCCAATATACGACTGAAGTGAGGTTGCTGATTGTGAGAGGTATTGTTGTAGAGTCAAACAATTCGTGAATAATTGTATAGAGTGATTTCCACCAGTCCATAACCATGATAAGGCTTCCTTACATGCGAGCGCTTTAGCCAAGTGGGGATTGACAATCTGGCAAACGTATACTGAAGGCCGAAACATATTCTCCTTCTCCATTCAACAACACTGCTCGAGCAGTGGCTGCTCCCGTGTGATGCGAAAAGCTGGCATTGAAATAACACTTCAACAATGGCGCATGACTTTCCGGCGATGGTAGCATGGTTTCGGCGACGCTTGGTTGTAGCGGAATAGTGGACTGTTGCAGTGGCATGGAAGCTCGAGAGGGATGAGCTTGTTCCCATGCGTGTACTACGCCAGCGGCTGCGGCAATTATTCTCCGCGGGCGTGGTAGGCATGCATCCCACACCGCTCCATTTCTGGCTCTCCAAATGTAATATAGAATTGCAGCTGCGTGGATAATCTGGTTAGTGTCTAAAATATTTAATAGTTCACTAAACCAAGTATAGAAAACATTTGTGATATTGATGAGGATTGGAAGGTGAGATTGGCTCCAAATGGACTTAGTATAGTCACACAATACTAAGCATGCATTGTGTCTTCATTTGCCATTCCACACATAGCACATGTTGGTTGTATGTCACTCTCTTTATAATCAGATTTTTCGTAGTGGGGAGAATATCATTCAATGCTCTCCATAAGAAAGTTTTCCATTTGGGAGGTATTTTGAGTCTCTATAGGCCTAGCCAATTATCAAATTAAGGAGTCTAGATCAGAGTATATGACTTGATATTCATCAATTTTATTATTAATATAATCATATATAATCATATTCACGTACACTAGAATTAATTAATATTATATATATTCGTATTCCTTATCTGATTTGGATTAGGAGTATTTGCATCCCTATATATTTAATAGCCCAGCAGTCCCCTACAACTTTAACAAATCATCCCTGCAACATCATATCGAATCTATATATATATAAATTCCCTACATACCTGTGCCATTAAATTTCTCTATCTATCTGTAATATATACATATGGCTTCTCATATATATTCACGGCAAGAGTTGGTTGTAACCAGCATGAATAAGAAGATTGAGAAATCCACAGATGGAAGTATGCCAGGAGTTACATCCAATATTTCTACCAGAAGTATGCCAACTTTGTGTATCCAGATATTTCTAAATCAAAGCAAACGCCAGGCACCTTGCCTTATTCTGGCATTCAATATGGAAGTAACGGGCAAGCAGCAAATGTTCTGAAATCATTGCCACCTGCATTGGCAGCGTTCATCTCAAATTTGCCACCTGTTGAGGGCCCATCTCCAGATGCTGATTTTGTCATATCTCTGTGCCTGCAAACCAACATTCCTTCACCACACTCAGGATCTGTTCCATCTACGAATTCAACCAAATTCAAAACAAGAGACAGACTAGCTGGAAAGAGGAAAAATATGAATGATGACACGACGACTGTGCAGAGGCAGCCTCCACCTAGAGATCTTTTCAAGATTCGACAACTACTTAAGTTGAGGGTTTCCAGTTCACACACAGGATCGGTATCATATGGGACTGCAATTTCTGGAGAGCTCTCTGGCAGCGGCAGCAGGGGCAGCACCAGTTGATAGCAATTACCAAGTCATACATCTTCCACTGTACATTCAATATTTTCATGTATTATTACTTAGGCTCCCTTTCTATCATGTATTCTGGGTTCTGAGACAGTAGGAAAAGCTAGATCTTTTTAGAACTAATTCTGTAACAATCTCTACCCTTTGTCTCTGCTTAATTAAGTCAATATATACTTAAAAATGGAAAATGGTTACCAAATTTTAAGAAAATAATAATAATTCTTCTTTACAAGGTAGTATATGTTCTATACTAGAGAACCCACCACCCGGGGTTCAAACCTTTGACCATCCACTTAGATAGGTAACCAGGATGTTATCGCACTACATGGTAGTTGGTAATACAATTATAGATTAAAATTACTACTACTACTAATAATAATAATAATAATAATAATAAGCCCGCATGGGTAGCTCAACTGGTCATGGAGGTGAAACTTTGGAAGAATGACCAGGGATTGAGTCTCACCAGCGGCAGTGTGGGAGGGGGCTCCTTGTGCGCAGTGAGCACCGGTCTAGCCTTTGTGATTAATGTTCAGTTGAGTCACCATGATTTACAACCTCCCAGGGTTCAGCCTTTTTGGAATAATAATAATAATAATCTATACCATATATAAAAACAAAATCTTCAACTTAACTTCCCGCCCAAAATCCTCAAATTTTAATATATTATTTTCTACTTTCCTATTCATACAATAATTCTATATTAAAATTCATATTCTAATATTCTAAAATAGTGTAATACAATTCCTAATAGAATATATTCTTTCATACTTTTCGTACTATAATTATACATTAGAATTCCTATTCTAATCTATATCTATATACTAGTAATCACACGCGCAATGCGCGATTAAACCAATGCCCAATGTATATTTTTAAATTAGTGTTTCTTAATTCGTAAAAGTACTCATATAATAATGAGAGAGAAAAAAATGTTAAAATCTTTTATATATTTTAATAAAAAATAAAAGATAAAGAAATTGGAAATAACAAAAACAAATAAACCACTGACTAAAGTTGATTGTCTATCATGACCAACTTGGGAGAAAAGAGTTGGATAAAGAGTACTAATCTGACAAGATAGGAATTAAATTTTCTTAATGCGCTTTTGCTAATCCAGAGTTCGGGTATGATCACTGTAACAAGTATCTCTATCCTTGTTTCAACTTTCAAATGAGCTATCAAGACCAGCAGGCCTTGCTGAACCCCCTGCACTAATGCAACAATATCATCACCACCCAGCAGCTATGAATAAGGGTAATCATAATTTGCTGATATTTGGGGGAAGTGAGGTTAGTGGGTCCTCATCATTTGATGGGAGTTGCAGCCAAATCAACTATGAGAGATCAAAAATTGCAGACCATGTCAAGCAAGAACCTACATATCATCAACTCTTGGGAAAATACAGTTTTCAAGGCGATCCTCATCATCATCATGAGATCATTTCTTCAACCAATGCTGGGTTCAAAGATGAAAACCAGATTCAAGGCAAACTTAGCATTTCAAATAATTGAGGTTTCAGGAAATTTACGATATGGAACAAGATCAAAAGCTTAAGAAGGCATTACCTTTCTTTAAATATGTTGTCTAGCATGTGAATTGAAAAGCTCCATGAACTCCTTCACTTCCAAGCCACCTAAATCCTGAACATTTCAGTATTCCTCTTATCGAACAGTAATTACCCATTTAGTTTAAAGTAAATCATCTATCAACCTTTCCCAAAGCATTGGATTTAACACATACGCCCCCGACTATCTGGATTTAATTTGAAGAGCTCATTCAAAGCTAAATTAGCCATTTTAACATCACATGCAGTCTGCAAAACTAAGCAAAGGTGCAAAACATAGAATTTGCCTTACATCAATTGCGCAGTGAATGCCATATCTTCTTTATACACTATTTTCTTAAATACATCCTCTATACAGCCATGGTTCATGTTCATTTAACCTATGGTCATTGAAGAAGAGCAAACCCCATTCAAGCCCAATCAAATTATGTGAACATAACAAATATGGAAGTAACTACAATTTAAGGTTGCAATTATCCTTATACACAGTAATTTGGATATGCAAAAAATTGTCATAAATGAGAATACAATTGTGAATTTTGATCTTTCTACATTAACAAAAAATAAATATAACAAATAGATGTAAAAATTAGGGAAAATTGTAAAAATGTCCCTCTATAATATGTCAATTATCAATGTCACCCCTGAATTATGAGTGGTGTAAATGTTGCCCCTCAATTATCAAAACGGTGCACACATAGCCCCTCTCGTAACGGACATGTGGTTCTCTGTTAGTGTACGACACTGTTAAGTCGAAGTAAATATGTAATTTAGTTGTTTTTTCCCTCCCTCGATTCGAAGTACCAACGATGGATAGCGGTGGGGAACCACAGGTCCATTACGGGAGGGGCTATATGTGCACCATTTTGATAATTGAATGGGCAAAATTTACACCACTCATAATCCAGAGGTGACATTGATAATTAGCATATTATAGAGGGGCATTTTTTACAAATTTTCCTAAAAATTATGCTTCTCCTTTACACCTTTACATAATCTATAATTAATCTGTACTCAAATAGCTCAAATTGCATACCAGATGCAATGCTTCTCCTTCACACCTCTACATTGTGTGTGCATGTAAATAAATTTAAAATTATCATAGCAGATATACAAAGTCAAATTAATTCACAAATTATGAAAGTAAAAGATCAAAAGACTTGGGAATTGAAGATGCAAAGCTGGTAAGTGAGAAGCTATGGAAGTTGATTGCTAACCGGATATGGAGGCGTGAAGGCTAAAGAATTGAATCTCAAATACATAAATTCTTTAAAAATCCAATTGTGCTCCGTAAAAAACTTTATAAACAAGAATTTAACCGGTAATCATCTCGATCGCCCAAAAACAGAGAAAAGAAAAGACAAAGTAAGTCGCATGTATCGTCGCTGGCCAGTATGAATATTAAGGAATCCTATCCAATTAGATGGTGATTGAGATAGTTTCAAGTTAGAGAGACCCATTAATTTTCAGAATCCAAATAACAACCAATAAACACAAATACTAAATCTCAGAATATTAAATCGACTCAAATAGGTAAATTCTTTAAAAATCTAATTGTGTAACTCACACCACCCCCCCCCCCCCCCCCTAAAAAAGGTAAATTCTCAAATAGATGTAAATTCTCAAATATCTGTAATTAATCTGTACTAAAATAGCTCAAATTGCATACCAGACGCAATGCTTCTCCGTCGGCTTTCTTTTCGGTAATCGGCAGAGACCAAATTCAGTTGTGTAACTCACACCACCCCCCCCCCCCCCCTAAAAAAAAAGGTAAATTCTCAAATATCTGTAATTAATCTGTACTAAAATAGCTCAAATTTGCCACCGCCTCTTTTATTTAACAGAATCTGTTTAATTTAACATTCTTAGTTTGGTAAAAATAAGAAGAATAAGCCTATATTAGAATTTTAATTTGGCATTGTACAATTAGAAGAGCTCAAAGTACAATCTTTTAAAGCGTATGGTGTACCGACATTTTTTTTTTATTCCCGTTAAGGGTCTAACAATATTCGCTCTTATTAAAATTGTAGATTGTAGATATATATAAAAGTAAAATCCTCCTATTTCATTTTCCCGCCCAAACTTTTGTAGTCAAATTAATTAAATATTTTATATTTTATTGGTCAAATACTTAATAAAGCTTATTTGGTAAGCAAATGAAAAATGGAAATTTAGTAATATCAATATTATGAATTAATTAGGAATAAGATTAATTAGGAATATTAATATAATGAATTGATTAGGAATATCAATATAATGAATTGATTAGGGCAATACCTTAAATAAATAAATACACTTTCTTTTTAAAAAAATTTATAAATTTATAATTCTCATATTTTTCACCTATAAATACAATGAGTTGCCGACTACAAAAATTATAAGTCTTCATTTTATATTGCATCCCTTTTTCCCCACTAGGTCTTCAGCCTTGATCATTCATTAGCCGCGTTTCGAAATTAACGGTAGGTTTAGCATCCAAGTAGTTTGATTGGATTAGATACAATACGTTTTTCATGGTTGTATTGTCCAAATTTAATACTTTTTCCAGCGAAAAGTTATTCATATCATATGCCTAGATTATGATTTATTCTGAATATTTTTACTGTTACTCCAAGTCCATTTCATATATTGATTTTTTGTTTCTATTGAAGTTTCATTATCATTGATGAAAGGCAGCCTCATGTGAATCTCGCTTTGAGTGGTGCCTACTCATGCCCGTTTAAAGGGATGCTGAGTGCTGACTCCTCTAATCTCTCTCTTCATTTTTTTTCTATACTGTTATTGGTCAAGAATTTAAAGTGCCACACAATAAAATGTGTGACTCATGGGTGATTGGAGATTGGGGAGTGGTTAAGTGTTTCTGTTGTAATATACACGACAAGATATAGCAGGAATCGCCTTTAATACACCAATTGACTATTATTATATTCTTCTTAGTTCTTTGCGTTGATTATTGAAGTAATCGGTTCTGAAGTTCTGATTTGTTAAGTTGTTTTATTCTCATGGTGTCGATTTTGAAAGTTATGAAGTCCATGCTCAATTCCTCAGTGTATAGGTCAAAAAGTGTATATATTTTTTGGCGTAATTATGGGATCGCCATAATTACTCCGTAGTAGTAGTAGTAGTAGTAGTAATAATAATAATAATAATAATAATAATAATAATAATAATAATAATAATAATAATAATAATAATAATAATAATAATAATAATAATAATAATAATAATAATAATAATAATAATAAAAATTGATAATATTATTGTTCAAATATAATATTTAAAAAAAAACCTAATTTTAATTGGTAATCTATATTTATATTTTATATTAAATAATAAAACAAATCCTCCTTTACAAGTTCACGCCTAAACAATTAATAATAATATGAAAAAAATGAAAAAGAATGGAAGGAAGCCGTACGACTAAACAATTAATAATAATATTGGGAAGAAAATTAATAATAATATGGAAATATGAAAAATAATGGAAGAAAATATTAGCCCATGTGAATGTTTTCTACACTCTGAAAAATGGAAAAGAATCAATAAGCCGTATTAGGAAAATAATCATTAAGATATTTTACTATTAATCTTTTATGTAAGATTTTGCGTAAAAAATAGAATATAATTAGTTATTAATAATTTAGCCTTATTTTACTATTAATCTTTAAGAAAAATTTTGCGTAAAAAATGTAATAAAATCGATTATTAATAATTTAGCTTTATTTTACTATATTAATCTTTAAGAAAAATTCTGCGTAAAAAATATAATAGAATCGGTTATTAATAATTTAGCTTTATTTTACTATTAATTTTTAAGGAAGATTTTGTTAAAAAATAAAATAGAATTAATTATTAATAATTTAAATTAAAATTAAAGTACATATATTTTCCTATCCGTAATATAATTTTTACTTATTATTTCACAAAATCTTCAAATAATAATTAGTAATATTATTGGTCAATTATAATAAAAACTCTAATTTTAATTGGTGATCTATATTTTATATTAATTAATAAAAACAATATCCTCCTTTACAAGTTCCCGCCTAAACAATTAATAATAATATGAAAAAATAAAAATGAATGGAAGGAAGTCATACACCAAAACAATATAGAATAATATTGAAAAATAAATTAATAATAATATGGAAAAATAGAAATGAATGGAAGGAAATGTTAGCCATGTGAATTTTTTCTACACTCTTGAAAAATGGAAAAGAATCAATAAGCAGTATAAGAAAAGAATCATTAAGATATTTACTATTAATCTTTTAGGAAAGATTTTGCATAAAAAATAGAATACAATTGGTTATTAATAATTTAGCCTTACTTTACTATTAATCTTTAAGACAAATTCTGGGTAAAAAAATGTAATAGAATCGGTTATTAATAAGTTAGCTTTATTTTACTATTAATCTTTAAGGAAGATTTTGCTTAAAAATGAAATAGAATCAATCTATCTATATTCTATATATAATTAAAAACAAAATCATCCTAATTCATTTTTCTGCCCAAACTTTTGTAGTAAAGCTTATTTGGTAAGTAAATCTCAAATGGAAATTAAATAAAATCTATTAATTGGTAAATAATAATAATAATAATAATAATAATAATAATAATAATAATAATAATAATAATAATCCAAACAAAACTATATACAAATTAAAATTAAAATTAAAAAAAAAATAAGAAGAAGACAGAGGTGGCTCCCCTTTGTATATAAGAGGATCATTGCTCCTCTTACAAACGTATAATTGCTTGCTCATCAATGTGGGCAAGTATTGAGAAGTCCAAAGACTTTTTTTTTTTTTTTTTTTTTTTTTAGTACTATTAACCCGGCAAATTATGTTGTGGCACCGTGTCCACCTTACAAAGTAGGCACAGTTCAAAAATTGTTCATAATTATGAATATATAGTTCTATAATTATAAATAAACATAGTGTTGTGAACATAATTATAAACATATAGTTATGTAATTATGAATATAGAGATTTAATAATTGTGTATATGAAATTCAAAAATTATGAATATATATCTAAACAAAACGATATACAAACATTTATTACAACAACAACAACAACAACAACAACAACAATAATAATAATAATAATAATAATAATAATAATAATAATAATAATAATAATAATAATAATAATAATAATAATAATAACAATCCAAACAAAATGATATGCAAAATAAAATTAAAATTAAAAAAAATAATAAGAAGAAGATAAAAAGGAGCTATGGGCTCCCCTTTGTAAATGATGTTGGATCATTTTGATCCTACATTGAAAATGTTTGGAAAAGGAGTTCTTCACTCCTCTATATAAGAGGAGCAATGCTCTTCTTACAAATATAATTGTTTGTCCATCAATGTGGACAAGTAGTGAGAAGTCCAAAGACAAATATTTTATTTTTTGAGTACTATTGATACGTCAAATTATGCTGTGGAATCATGTCCACCTCACGGTTCTAAAATTGCTCATAATTATGAATATATAGTTAAAAAATTATGAATATATAGTTCTAAAATTATGAACATAGTGTTGTGAACATAATTATGAACATATAGTTATGTAATAATGAATATAGAGATTCAATAATTGTGAATATGAAGTTTAAAAATTATGAATATATAGCTTTATAATTATGAACATATAGTTTAGTAATTATGAACATAGAGTTTTGTAGTTGTGAATATAGAGTTCAATAATTATGAATATGAAGTTCAAAGATTATGAATATTTAGCTTTATAATTATGAATATATAGTTCAGCAATTATGAACATAGAACTGTGTCTACCTTGCAAAGTGGACACGGTTCCACAGCATAACTATTCGATTCACCGTGTTACATGTAGTATCTGTTCATATAAACTTTCTCAACCTATTGAAGCCCAACGTTTCAAAAGGCTCTTATTCAAGAAACATTATTTTAATGGCTTCTTATTTTAATTTTTTTTTAAAATTTATTAGGGGGTTTGGCTAAGATTAACCCAAAATGTATGTGTTGTTTTAGTTTTTAGCAGTTTGGAACAAATTGCTAAATTATTAAATAATATTTTTGATGTTTTGATTAAATATAAAATGTTAAACAGGCAAATTTTTTAAAATTTTGAAGAATTCTCCAAATAATCAAATCATAACAACAACAACAACAACAATAATAATAATAATAATAATAATAACAATAATAATAATAATAATAATAATAGTAATAATAATAATAATAATAATAATAATCCAAACAAAACTATATACAAAATAAAATTAAAATAAAAAAAAAAGGAGTCACAGACTCCTTTTGTAAATGATATGAGATCATTTTGATCACACATTGAAAGTGTTTGAAAAGAGAGAGCTCATCTATATAAGAGGAGCAAAACTCCTCTTACAAACATAATTACTTGCACATCAATGTGGGCAAGTATTGAGAAGTCAAAAGGTTCTTATTTAAGAAGCTTTAGCGTTGTCTTCTTATTTTAGTTTTTATTAATTAATTAATTAATTATTTATTATTAGTGGGGGTTTGGAAAGATTAACCCAAAATGTATGTGTTGTTTTAGTTTTTAGCAGTTTGGAGTAAATTTCTAAGTTATTAAATAATATTTTTTGGTTTTTTGATTAAATATAAAATATTAAACAGATGAATTTCTTAAAATTTTGGTGAATTTTCTAAATAATCAAAT